TCTGTAAAAAAAAAAAAAATCCTATATTATAGGTTATAGAAAAATGAGCACAAAAACTAGGCAAAGTAGGAGATGAAAAGGCATATTAAACAGATAATTTTTGCTCTATTTTTTTCTAAGGGAATGATTGTTAATGTGTGACTGCCTTTATCTGGTTAAAGGGTTAACCTGATTAGAAGCATGACTATGAACACAGACACCAGGCTGTGAGCTTGTCTCATTCTCTGCTCTGGGTTCTGTGCCTTGGTGGCAATGACAGCTTTGACTTTTGTGGCAATAAAGGAATGTTAACTCATGTCTGCTGATGCTCTGTCTGTAACCTGTGATTTCCCAGCAATCATTTCAAAATGGCTAGGTTAACAGAATAATAAATGTTTAATTGGCCTTACTTAATCTGACTAACAAATAGCACCAAATGCTATGAGACTTGTGATAAAGTTACAGGAGCTGCAGTGAGCAATGATGCAGGAATATGTGGAGAATGGTTTGCCTGGACAGGGAGACAGAGTGGGGCTCCAGAAAGAGTTGTTTAGAATTTACTTGATGTTTCGATACCACAGTGGCTGGCTCGACTGAATGCCTTAGATGGTATGTTTGCCTTCTGCCACTTATAACCTCTCCAAGAAGTCATGGGGCAGATCACGGGGCAAGTTCCATTATCCTCCACTTTTTAACTTTTTTAATTGTGTGATACAAGGGAATTTACTCCTCTCCCCTTCCCTGCCCCCGTGTTTTTTTTTTTTTTTGTGTTTGTTTTCAGTTCTATTTTTTTTTTCTTCTTGTTTTTTTCTGTTTGTTCATTGCCACCGTTTGGAGGAAGTGCATTTCTGCCATAGCTGGATAAATGTTATAACCTAGCCTTTTGTGTGCCTCAGCAGTTACCTGCACAGTAAGCCTGAGTACACAGACACACACACTCATGTGTACACATTATTTTACCTAGCAGCATGTAGTCTGACAAACATGTGATTACAGACAGCAAACTTAAGAGAAGAGATGCTCATTTTGGTCTTCCACTGTGAAGTTCATCATGGCCAGCAGGAGTAATAGACTAGAGTCTGGTGCCCTCTTGTGACTGCTAAGCTCTCTGAAATGCAGCATCCTGTTGTTGTAAATTGCAGCACAAATATTATATTTTTTTATTTCCCTTTTTTTTCCACTTATATGGAAGGCAAACTTACACTTCTCTAAATCTCCAAGTAGGTGATTTCAAAACACTGGGGAAAATATTTCTGAGAAGTAGCTTTTGGCAGCTTCACGAGTCAAAATATTTATACCTCCCTGAATGAGGAATATTAGTTGAAAATTACAGTGTAGGGATCAGAGCCTAACTTACACTAGAAAAAGAAGAGCAAATTATCCAGAACAAAAGTTGGGAATATAGAAAAGGGGAATTAACCTTTCAATATCATTTCTGAAATCCAAAGCTTCTGTTGCATGGTTCAGAAGTATGGAGAGAGGCTGTAGATTCACTACCCTTAGTTGACTGATGTGTTAAATAGTTGAATGAGAAGTTGCTTTCATAAAAGCTTTCCTCTGTGTTAGTCAATTAGACATACCATGCTGAAGCATTAACAAGTCAGGATTATCCTTTATAATAGATGATTGTTTTATATCATAAAAGGATATGCTCAAGCTACATTTCTGCATCAAAAAAGATTTTTCTCCAGATTCTGGAGGTTTAAAGTCATTATGATCTGAAAGTATAAGCCAACAAGAGAGTTCAAATTCATTATTATTCCTCATCATGGTATTTGACTAAGAAGCGGTTTTAGTATCTGTAACTGAATGATGAGATAAGCAAAAGACAAAGATTTAATATAATTTCCAGCTTCTTCTTCCCTCTCATGAGAGGGGAACATTTCTGGTTAGAAAGAGTGACGTGTCCTTGAGTAAAGCAAGCAGGCCCCACTCAGCCTGTCATTAGGGAAAGCCCCTTGCTGAGTTGTGAGATCACGCATGCCTTTTGAATTCTGCTTTTGAGGAGTACTGAAGGTACCTGCTGACCTTTTGTTTCCTCCAAATTTTTTCTTTCTGTGTCTTTTTCACACACCAGCGTACAAAAGAACTTCCCCATTCACACCCCTTTTTCTTGTTTCTGACAGAAACTTCAGAGTCATACTTGGCCCATCTAGAATCTCTCACCTTTTGATGATGGGCCATTCCCAGAGTAACAGTCAAGAAGCAACGAAGCCAGTCATACTCCTGAATTTCCTGGTTTATTTAATGTACACTTATCTTCCCTTTTGCACGTTGCTGTATTCAGTCCTGAGTTTAGTTTCAGGCTTCTGTGTTTGTTACCTTTAGGACACACAAACCCATAAGGACCTATGAACTATAAATTTTCATAAGCCTTATTTTGCCTAGGAAAGATTTGGACTAAATAATTAATTAAAAGTCCTTAAAAGAACATTAAGAATCAATAGAAAATGGCAGCATGATTTTTGGTACCTTATAAAATGTCCTTTATCCAACATATTGTCAAGGCTCCTATCAGTGTCTAACATACGATAATAAAAACCACCTGTAGTGGGTAGTATGAGTTCGGTCTTCTCCTCAGCTACACTGTAGAAAGGCAAAAAACAACCCTAAATCAATCAAACCAGTAAGTCATGATGCCTGCTGCCTCAAGCAACAAGCATTATGACTGTTGCAGTCAGGATTAGACTGTCAGAAACTCATTCCAGAAATCTGCTTCCAAGAAAGTGCTTCCCAACTTAGCAAAATTGTGCCAGGAAGGGAAGAGTCTGAGAGGCAATCCACGTGGATAGTTCTCAGAGCGCTAAAGATTTTAAAGATTATTACCACCAGCCGCCTCTGCGTGCAGATGCTGCAATAGTAAATGCTATTAGTATTACCGATTACTAGGTGCCTTGTGAGCCTTTGGTCCTGAGGGTTTCCAGTTTGGAAGTCAACTTTATGGAACACCCCCAAACTCCAAAATATCCCAGTGAAGCCCCCAAAGGTCTAGCAGCATGTTACCAGAGGGAGGCCCAAAGTTGAATGAAAGTCCCAGAACATTTTTTTCAAGTCCCAGAATAAATGGGAGAAAATAAGGTGCTTTGAATCTGACTCTGAAAACACTGACTCATTAGAATTTGTGTTTTAGTAGCTTATGTTTGCCCCCATGCAGTTCACTCACTGCCCATTGCAGTAAGCATTGAACATGTGTATGACACACACACTTGCTTACTCTTTCTAATTTCTCTTGTAAGGGCTCATATCTTAAACCGAGAGGTCAGACAATGCTCATGGGAAGAAGCGTTCCATTTTAGAGATGGGGAACTGCGATACAGAATGATGAATTTCTAATAACTTTCAGAACACATAGGTATTTGCATACTTGTTCAGAGCATCTGCGACTTAAGATTTACAAGTGAGATTTACAGAGTGCTGTATACGGTAAAACACCCTTTTCCTGTAGTACTTTCTTCTCTTTGATTCTTTATCTTAAGAAAATATTTCAAGGAATACCTTTGAACATACAGCAGACACTTTGTGATCGTGGCCTGAAATACGTGGGCTGTTTTACAGACTGAGGCTGCCAAACAAGATAGATCATTCCATGCTGTACTAAAGAAAAGGCTTATTTTGTGGTTGCTTGCGTACATGATATTCATGTGATGTTCTGTGAAATTTTTACCACGTATCTTATTGTCTCTCTTCAGCAGACTTTCCATCTGTCTGCAAGACTTGTTTTTGTTTTGTTATCTCTGAGCATTTCTTACAGGACAGAGAAAGAGAGCAAAATCCCAGAGGTTATCAGTGATCTGAATTACGATGATGAGACATAATGACCTTAGAGACCTACTTTTTCATACCAATTGCTTATGATGGCAGCAGCTAACATCTATTGCCAGGATATTACTGTTAATCTAATTTGGGATAGCAATTTTCTCTCTTCTTGGTTCACATTAGTTTCACTTGAAAATTGTGTGTCATGGGTCCATAATACATCCCAGGTATAAATGGAGTATATGGAGCTCCCCTCCCCTGTGCACAGATCAGTTGTGCAA